TACCAGAGTTGATAGTTATTACAAGTAGTGTGGAGACACAACCAGGTATCACACATCAATCAAGTTAATAATAATGAGTGGTTACTGAGATTTACTATGTGCCAAGTCCTGAATTGTGAATATTATATAATTTACACTTCATAAAAGGTTCCTTCTAATAGCTATAAGAGAAAACCAACTATTATATGTACTCAATAACATTAATAGAGATATATAGTTGTATCAGTTACATATTGTTATACGATATACACTGGCTCTGGATTGAACACGTTTTCTCACTTATAAACTAGTATATAATAAACTTATAAACTAGTATATAATTATTTATTAACTTATAAATTGATTTATTATTATTAGTCTTTTTTGAAGTGCTGAAAATCCCAGGGCCTTATAAATGCTAGGCAAGTACTCTACTATTGAACTATTATCCCTGGTCCTGCCACTTAGACTTTAAATGAGTCTCACGAGTAGGCACTATTATCCCAAAGTAGGTTGCTGCTGAAGATCTTCCTGCTAGTATATCCATCCTTTTAAGTCCAGGATATACATCTTAGGTTCAAGAGTCTGAGTTCAAGTCCGCTTTTTATTTTGGGGCTCCAAGTGAATGGAACACTGGAGTTCTAGAAGGCATTCTCTTCTGAGAAATCCTTGGAGAGTAGCCAGGTTTCCAGGAAATTCTTGGTGTGCATGTAAGATAGGAGTAGACAAAAGTTTAAATGATGCTAAGTATTTTGCACAGCCCACTCCCTGATGCAGAAGAATAGTTGGTCCACCCATAGATCGGTGATAAGTCACCGGGGACTCCTCTCAAAGTACAGTGGCTGAGCTAAGAACTAATAAACCATCCATTTTATAAGTACTCATACCAGTAGAGGAATAAAAATGAATATATTTAGCAATAAGGTATGACATGGTGTTAAAAAAAATCACACAGGCTCTGCAATCAGAAAGCAAATAGTTCTGCCTGAGAGAACAGCCCCTTCTGTGGATGTTTTCCCCTCTTCTTCCTACCCATGAAATAGAACCTTGAACTTTGAAACCACAATGCCTTGTTTCAGCTTGGAAAGCAGTGAATCACTTCCCAGTATTGGAAACTTCCTAGATTGGGACACTAGCAATGTTTTCTGCCAGAGCTTAAGCCCGTGTTCCCCTTTATGAAGATATGCTCCTGGCTGGAAGCATGAACCTTGTCCTGCCTTGCTACTGGAGCAGCAGGTTTTCAACAGAGGACAATGAAACAACAGTCTTACTGGCTGGAACCTTGATACTCTTTCCCTTTTCCAGGTGACAGAGCGGGTAATTTGCTGGTGCAATTATGCAACCTGGTATAAAGTCCACCAGCAGGGAGGGGCAGGGATAGGACTCTGAACTGGCTCAGCACTCTGATGGAGCCTCTGGACTCTTGTTCTAGCTTTCTTTACCTTTTCCTTTCCTGACCAGATGTCAAATAGCTCTGTTTCCCTCTCTTCCTCCCTCCTTTCCTTTTTCCTTCTCTCCTCCCTCCCTTCCTTCATTTTTTTCTTTCCCTTCTTTATCTCCTTTCCTCCCCCTTCCTCCTTCCCTCCCTCTTTCTCTCTCCTTTCTCCTTCCCCTTGTTTTCATTTCTCTCTAATCCCTTCATCTTTGTTAGCCTCCACCCTCTGGCTCCCTCTAACACGGGAACTCACCACTTATCAAATATCTTGGCCTGTCTCCAACTGCTAGTGGCAGGCTTCTCTGGCCCTTGTCTGTTTTTGGAGTGATTTTTCTTCAGCAATTGCTTGCTACTTTAAATCCAGGTGGAATTATGTATATAAAATGGTGGGTGATCGGGGATTCCAAAACCAAGAAAGAGACCTTTTCCCTAATCAGATTATGCCTGTCTGGAATTGAGAAGATATGAAAGGCCACTTGGATTCTGTTCCCTTGAAAAGTGACTATGGCTGGGTGTAATCTGAGGCTGAGATCTGAGGATTGAGGTTCAAAGCCAGGCAAGAAAGTCCATGAGACTCCAAACTCCAACTACCAAGAAGCCAGAAGTGGAGCTGTGGCTCAGTTGGTAGAGTATCAACCTTGAGCAAAAAAGCAAAGGGACAGTTCCTAGATCCTGCATTCATGACCTAGTATTGACAGAAAGAAAAAAAGAAAAGTGACTATGAAAACATAGCTTTAATAATCACAAAAGGTCAATGCACACCATATCATCCCTCAGACATTGGGATGTTACTCCTAGTCCACCATTTCCTTTTTCCTTCTCTTCCTTCCTTTCTATAGGGCATCATTATTACTCCAGGCTAGACCTGAACTCATTCTATCTCTGCCTCAATCTTCCAAGTGGTGGATTACAGGCATATGCCACCAAACCAGCCTGGCCTTCCATTTTCCACTTAATTGCAATTTGTAGAGGCTGTTTTGGCCCTTAATATACCTGCCATCCTGGACTTAAGCAAGTGGCTATGAACAGATACCATCTGCACCACCTCCCTTAGCCTGCCACACAACACAAAACTGTAGACTCCCAGACTCTGTGTTCTGAGCGCAGGCCCTGAGAGCGGCAAAGAAAAGAGAAGCTACACAGAGTAATTATGTTATAGGTTACCACGTGCATGTAAAAATCAAAATACAGGGTTCAAGCAATAACCTCTCCAGTGCTGCAGTCTTTGATAACACAATAGCCTTCTGTTAGTTCAAAGCAAGTTCTTGAAAACCTTCCTTCTTTAACATTTTCCTTCTTTTTACTGTGTTGTATATACTTTACATTTTTCTTTCTTAAGTGATGTACACAAAGAATGCGAGTGTGGGAAATGTATCCAAACATATGAACAAATGCATTTATGAAAGCTTTTTAATCTCTGAAATAATAACTATAGGGCAATTGTCCACTTTTTTTTGTTTTTTTGTTTTTTTTTTGGTGATAGTCATTTTGTTGAGTTCCTAAACTTAAACGGCAAGTCCTCTTAGTGAGACTGGCCTAATTCTATGTTCTCTATGACACCTAGTCACTGTGGCTGTGCAAGAGCCATTATTACCCAAAGTACCATAATAATGGCCGTGCCCTCCTATGACGTTATTGTTGTTATTGTTTCCTATGTGCCAGGATATTAATTGTCTTTCTAACTTGCTCTAAAATTGGTAGTATGGCACATTGCCAAGACTAAAGAAAAGAAAGCTATTAATGATATATAGGAAACGGCTGTGTAAAAGGATATATTGATATTGCCTTCGCATTGGGGTGTTATCGTATTTGCATACTACTTCATTTGTTTTAAGACATTAGCTCAGTCCATCTTATCGTGGTCAGTATCTGATCTTTCCTTCAAGGGAGTGATTCATACATCTCTTTAGTTATTTTGGCTTTTCCTCTTTCCTTTTATAGGATTTTTTTTTTGTGTGAGTCATTGAATTGAATGTGAGGCTATTTCTAAATTGAAAGGTGAGGATGAGAGAAGGGGGAGGAAAGTTCCGGAAAATAACTAGGAAGACACCTTATTGTTATGTATAGTTACTGGAGGAGTAATTTCCATTTAGTTTGATGATAGAAGTGTGTAGTTTATTTAAACTTGACTGAAAATATAGGCTAGAAAACAGACAGCTGCTTTTTTCTTCTTCTCCGGAATAACAAACCATACAGTTTCAGATTCCTTGTATCTTGCTCCACAAAGAGCCAAAGGCTAGTAAATAAAAAAGATATGGGACAAAGAGATAGCCAGAAGACAATACAGGCAAGGTGCAAAACTTCCAAAGTCCAGATTTGTGGCCCCACAGGGAGGTCCCAGTTATAAAGCAGTGCTTATGAGGGTCAGACCTCCTTGACTTGTTCCAACCTTGCCCAATTGTCCTCAGTGTATGTTTCACCATCCATGACTTTGCATATTGCAGGTAGAGTTGTGAGGAAGGTATATTTAAATTTGATTTAGAAACTGAGAGAGTAATCAGGCCAGCATTTTCTTATTTAGGAGCAGGAAAAGTGGGTGGAAAAGAAAAGTCAAAAAGCTAATGACGAATATATTTCTAGGAGCACAAGTTTTTATAGCAACACCAGATTTGTCAAAAATGCCTACTGTGATTTGTACCCAAGGAATAAAAAATGCAACCATTTATTCTCATAATCATTGTGCCAAGTGAGGGAAGAAGAAAAAAGAAGCCTTGCAATTCACTCAATGGCCCTAATTTAGACTGCTAGGGAGAGGTTTAGAAGAAGAAAAAAGACAAGCTTTTAACGTATTTGACACACAGCTAGTAGGGCTATTTAAGAACTGCTGAACATAAAATTCAAGCACGGGTGGGAAGTGAGAGGTAGGAGGAAAAGCAATCCTCATTTATTTAAAACTTGCTGAAGGGAAGTCAGGAGTGGGTCTGGAGGCTAGAGAATTGTCAACACGACCCTTAAGTTTATTGCAATTACGCTTATAATTGCAATGGAAGTAGACTGATTGCTGCTAAATAAACCGCCGCGCTTTGCGCTCCAGCATGGAGACAGGAAAGAACTTCAAGGAAATGGGGCTCATTGGGACCCCAAGAAAAGGAGATTTTAATCGATATGGGATCTTTCTCCCCAGGGGTGGGTGAGAGACACTTCTGAAAGACAGTTTCTGGTGCTGTTGGCGTATTGCAAGTGTTATCTCTATGAGTGTGCTGGCAGTGGGTGAGTTTCACCTGGTTCACTGCGCGAACTCCACAACAAAGAGTTAACCCTTCCCTGGTAACCTCGGACGTGAGCTTTCTACTGTGCAACCAAACTGTGCACAAGCTTGAACCAACCGTGGCCGTCACGTCCAGTGCCTGTTAACTTAATAGACACTGTTAGTAGCCTATCATAACTTCGAACTGTCCAACCATCAACCAATGACAACTAAAGCTTGGACTAGGACGTTCCAGGTCTCGGTGGGGGCGAATATCAGGTCCAGGAAAAGGGGCGGTAAAGACACGATGACGGGCAGGTAACTTGGGCCAATAAGAGTAGAGAACCGCCGCCCCGTTGTCCAATGGACAGGTCGGAAATGTGATGGGGGTGGGCCTGTTGTCATGGGGGAGGTGGTGGCGCTTGGTGGCTCCTGGCGGCCGAGGTAGAGGAAGAGGCACTGGAGTTGGTCCGGAGGCAGCGGCAGGTGAGTGCCCGGAACCTGGGCCCGAAGTCTGAAGGCCGTCGCGGGGCGGAAACTCTAGCTCCGCGTTTAGGAAGCTGAGGCTGAAGGAAGCGGGCCTGGACGCCGGGTCGGGGCCGGGGCGGCGGCGGCGAGTTCGCGCTGACGGGGCTGGTGGGAGAATGGCCGGGCTGCGGGTGGCCGAGGTCGCTGTGGGCAGGGCGGCTGGCGCGGGACCCCGCGGGTCCGGCCGGGGGCTCTCGGAGCGCGCTCGGGTCCCGAGCACTGACCCGCGGCCGCTGTGGAGAGCGGCCGCTTCCTGGGGAGACGGCAGCGGCCGGGGTGTGAGGGTTGGGGGTGACCCGGGGTGACTTGGGGATACCCCGGACGGCGCGGGTGCCGGCGGTGGCGGGGAGCTGGGAGCCCCGGGGAGCCTGGGAGCGGCGGGCGCGCTGAGAGCCGGGGACCTGAGCGAACTAGGAGTGGCTCCTGCCGGGGAGCGAGAGGAAGTGGGGAGACCGAGGGCAGCCGGGGTCCGGGGTGACCGGGAGCGGCCTGGCTCTGTGTGTGTGTGTGTGTGTGTGTGTGTGTGTCCGTGTGTCGGTGAGTCGGTGATCCGGACCCTCCAGAAGAGCGCGGCTGTCCGAGGAAGTCGAGCTCCAGCCGACGTGGGGAGCAGATGGTCTTTGCGGGGTGGGGTGGGGGTGTCGGATGGGTGGGAACCTTGAAGGGTTTGGGGGAACCCCACCCCTCACCCCAACGGGTCTGCGACCGGAGACCTAAAAGTGGATTCCTCCCCGGCCACCAGGAAGGAAGTGTTTCTTCCCCGGGGTAGCAGTTTGGGGTGTGAGACGAGGGTGAGGGTTCCCACGGGGAAATGGAAGTTCCTTGGAGCAAAGTGGGATGGAGGTGGGAAGGGAGGAGTAATTTCCTTGTAGGAAGGGAGTTGTAGAGAAAGTTGCCCATTGGCAGTGCAGTGGTCAGGTGGAAGCTGGCCAGGACAGCAGCTATGAGAAATTAACAATACTGTGTTGTAAGTTCTCCAAAAAAAGAAGAAGAAGAAGAAACTTAAGCTGCATAATGAATAAGAAGGTGCCATCTAGGATCAGAAAAAAAAAAAAGGCAACACCCCGCCCCACCCCCTAAAAAAGAAAAACCCCAAAGATTTAGTGACTTGCATTCCAAGGCTTTAGAAATGTTTTAGGATAGCTTCAATGCTAGAGAATAAGGACATTGACAGGGAGGGAATTTGAGAGGAAAAGTGGGGGAGGAGTAGCTGAGCTAAAGGAATAGAACTGAGGACCTGATCAGAAAGAGGATATTCATGACCAGGATAGGCATGTCCTGCTATATTCAAAATAAATTGGAAGTTCAGTCCCGGTGAGTAGCTTGGCCAACTTAATCTCTCCAGATTTTGCTCATCTATAGTAAAATAGGAAAACCAATAGTTTTCATAGTGTTTACAGCTTTTAAAAAAAGTTAGGTAGAGCTTTTGGAATAGTGACTGACACACAGCACCGTGTACTGGATTGTTAAAGGATAAAGACCTGAGTTCCTTGATGCATTTATTTTCAAACATTATATCAGTCTTTCTTGGAGGGCTTACAAAGCTACAAATTGGTTGGTCCATTTGGGTTTTCTGATTTGCCACATGTAGGGTGGGGCCCAAGAATTAGTATTTATCTCAATTGATGTTTGTCTTGGTCAAGGGTCTATACTTGCTTTAATGAAAATATAATAAGCAACCTTCAAATAACTATCTTGCAAAAGAGATTAGTAGAGGCACATATCACCATCACCGTCATCCTAATCCTATTAAATATCTTTTTGTTGTTTGAGTGGAACAGATTCTTTTTTTTTTTTTTTTTTTGGTCCCGTTGTGGGGCCTGAACTCTGGGCCTGGGCGCTGTCCCTCAGCTCTTCAGCTCAAGGCTAGCGCTCTACCACTTGAGCCAAAGCGCCACTTCCGGCTTTTTTCTTTTTGCTGATGTGGTGCTGAGGAATCGAACCCAGGGCCTCAGGCATGCAAGGCAAGCGCTCTACCACTGAGCCAACCTCCCAGCCCTGAAACAGATTCTTATAATATAGTACAGGCTGGCATTGGACACTGTTCTATCTCAGCTTCTCAACTGCTGGGATTGCTAGAGTGCTAGGCCTACAGTTATGCACTACTTTATTCAGTTAAGGATATCCTTTTGTGAGCTCGTTTTTAAAAAGTATGGATAATTATTTTGTAATGTATAAAATCAAATTGGCAGGTTACCACATTGAAAATAAAGTGATTTTTTAATATTTTTGTATTTGGTAAAGAAAAGTATTGTTTGGAAAACCTCTCATACGTGTATGTAATAGATCACAACGTAAAATGCATTTCTTAGAGTTAGAAAACTTTGAAAAGCTTTTGAGTGTAGTAAGAGCAACCTTTCAGTATCTAAGGTTGGGGTACTTGTTTATCTTTTTGTTGGTCGTGGGGCTTGAACTCGGCTTGGGCGCTGTTCCTGTGCTCTTCAGCTCAAGGTGAGCGCTCTACCACTTGAGCCACAGCACCACTTCTGGTTTTGGCATGGTTCATTGGAGATAAGAGTCTCACAGACTTTCCTGCCCGGGCTGGCTTTGAATCGGGATCATCAGATCTCAGCCTTCTGAGTAGGTAGGATTACAGGCATGAGCCACTGGCGCCTGGCCTTATTTTTTTGTGCTAATTCTTCCTCAGGTAGTAATAAAACATTCCATTAAATATCTTCAGCTTCTGATTTGATTTCTCCTGTGTTGGTCTTATCACATTTTGCATTGTGTCCCTGATTCTTTGAATCTTTTTTGGATATTGAGAATCTTTGGCACGAGGACTTAAGGGAATTTGAGGCCAAGAAATTGAGTGTGTCTCGGATGTGTTCCACTTTTGTTTCACTTGTGCCCCCTTGTTCACCCTTTCTTTTGTTTCTTCCTCTCTAACTACTGTGCTATGAAGCATTGTTTGTAAAAAAAAGCAAACCCTAAGTATAAACGTACATATTGACAGTAAACAACTAACACTGAAATGAGCTAGTTTGAGAACATTTCATGTACCAAAAGAAAGCAAATGCAAAATAAGAAACATTTAACTGGGTGTGGTGGTTCATGCCTGTAATCCCAGTGCTAGAAATAAGAAGGTAAAAGAATCACTAGTGCCAGACCAGCCTGGACTGTACAAGATCCTGCGGCAAAAGAATTAATTTTTTTTTCAAAGCAAAAAATTTCTTTTTAGAGAAAAGGTATTATAAAACTTTTTATTTTGCTTTAGTGGAAGCCAAGGCCAGGCAGTTACACAAGACCATATAAAATACAGAATATATAAAATCATTTTAAAGAAACTGACAATACAATAGAATTCTAATTTTTGTAGAGAAAAGAAATAGGGCTGGGAAGGTGGCTCAATGGTAGAGTACTTGCCTTGCATGCATGAAGCCTTGGGTTTGATTCCTCAGCAGCACATAAGCAGAAAAAGCCGGAAGTGGCGCTGTGGCTCAAGTAGAGCACTAACCTTGAGCCGAAGAGCTGAGGGACAGTGCCCAGGTCCAGAGTTCAGGCCCACGACTGAAAAAAAAAGAAAAATAGTGATAATCGATAGCAAAATACCCTGGGTAAGATAGAGGTTTAAGTACAAAGAAAATGGTTTAAGCAAGAGCTCTTGTCTTAATCATTTTTCTCCCCTGAGAGTTAATTGCATGCAGTATATGTTGTAACTTTAACTTGAGGAACTAAAATATTACCTACAATCTTTATTTAAAGCTAGGTTAATATTTATGCATGTCTTGTGCTACTATAGGTTTGCCTTTTTATTGAAAACTATATGGTTCATCTAAAAGCTAGGTAGAATTTATGTAGAATTATTTTGGGGTGGGAGGATGTGAGAACAGAAAACAGTACTGAAAATGGAAAGAGATCATTGTAGCTCTCTCTAATCTAGGGGATAATATAACTTCTCATTAATGTTGTATGAAATTGTGAAGAAACTACTGCTTCATCTCTGCATCATGATTGTTTTATTTCTTCAAATTCTGTTTGTTATTTTTATTTCTTTAATATCTTTATTCCAAAAAATGTAAATGGAAGACTGGAAAACATGTAGCCTTTGATATTTGATTTCAAAGGCAAAAGCTATCTTTTGACAAAATGTACTAATTTTTGTGACAAAGGTTCCAAGGAAGAAACTTTTTTTTCTCGAGTTGAATAGGATGTCCCTTTCACTGGAATAGTTGTTCTGTAAGTCATTGTTCGTTTATTTAGATCATTCAGTTCCCTAACAAATAATAGAAGAATCTTAATTCTTAATTGAGTGTGGGGGAAAATGTAAGAGTTCACTCTTTATAATTGTGAACATTGAACAATTTGATTACTTACTTGCTTTTAACACAAGGACTTTCTTCAGTTAACTTATTATTCATCCATAATTTAATCATGTCTTAATCCTATCTATTCAGGAAACTGAAATCTGAGGATCACAGTTCAAAGCCTGCCCAGACAGGAAGTCTAAGAGACTCTTACCTCCAGCTAACCAGCAAAAAGCTGGAAGTGGAGGTGTGGTTCAAGTGATAGAGCACCAGCCTTGAGAGAAAAAGCTAAGAGACAGTGTCCAGTCTCTACTTTCAAGCCTCAGTACTTGTACACACAGAGATATACACACAGACACAAACACACAAGAATTTTATGTCAGAAACAGTCCCTTAATGACTTATCACCTTTAAAAATAAGTATTTTAGCAAGGTGCTGGTGGCTCATGCTTGTAATACTAGCTACTCAGGAGGCTGAGATCTGAGGATCATGGTTGAAAGCCAGCCTGGGCAGGAAAGTCCATGAAACTATTAACTCTAATAAACCACTAGAAAACTGGAAGTGGTGTAGCTCAAGTGGTAAAGTGCTAGCCTTGAGCTGAAGAGCTGAGGGACAGTGCTCAGGCCCAGAGTTCAAGCCCCACGACCCACAAAAAAATAAAAAAAATAAAAAAATAAGTATTTTGTGTAATAGAGTATTTGAAAAACTTTTTT